AACATGATTGAATAAGTTTTGTGGCGTGCTGCTCGAAGTTTAAATTACTATCCACCCACCAAGGTTCTTTGCCACAGGCTTAATGTGATTTACTAGGGAACCAGCAGATGGCAGTATTTGATTTGCCATCTGCTGGGACCCGATGACCAGGATTTCTGTTTTGTCTGAGTTCAGCTGGAGGAAATTATTTGACATCCATTTTTTAACTTCACAAAGGCAGTCGGTAAGTGAACTCAGCATTCCAGGGTCTGTGGATCTTACGGGCAGGTACATTTGTGGGTCATCAGCATAAATATGAAAAGAAATACCATGTTTATGGATAATATGTCCATTGGGAAGCAGATACAAGGAAAACAAAATGGGTCCTAAGACCGACCCCTGAGGCACACCATATTTAACTGGACAGAACGAAGAGACTTAGTTGTTTACAGACACGCAAAACTTCCTATTTGACAGGTAGGCTATTGTACACACACTGGATCAGTGTAAGACTTTACTGAGGGACAGCCAAGAGAAATTGTGTGAAGGTTGAGCCTCATTTAAAGCCAGTTATCACAGTAGTAGGTTGGATGTCAACAGCTTTTTGTGGAACTTAATGCTGCTGCAAGGCAAGCTCAGCTGGCTTTGTTGTTACACCAATTGATAATCTACAAAGGTCTATTTACATGCTACACACACATACACACCCTTGTGGCACTATCTTCGTGGGGACCAGTCACTGACATAATGCATTCCCTGTACTCTAACCTTAACCTTTCCCCTAACCCTAAACTTAACTTTATTCTAATCTGAACCCTGAAACCAATTTTTGATCCTCAAGAATCCCATTTTGGTCCCCACAGAGCTGTCGGACACACACACACATTCTCCCAAAGGAATCCACACTCTTGCTCATACCTTACCTAGAAGGTTATCCTCAAAAAAGATCTTTATCTACTCAGCAGCATCCCAGGTGAGAGGATGGTGGAGGTTTTTGCATCATGTATTCTTGCTGCTGAGCATTTCAGAGACACTAAATCCAAAAATGAAAGCAGCCATTGCCAGCTGGACTATAAATGTGGTGGTTTTCATCTACATACAGTCATTTCAGTTATTGTTTTACAGATAATGTAGACTACTGGAGTTTCAACAATAATGACCTTTTCGACATTGCCACAGTTTAAGCTATTTAACACAAAAGAACTCAGTGAAGATGTGACACGTTGTGACGTTACCAGCTTACTGCAAGTGAGTGAGTGCATGATTCATCAATACAGTGCTTAATAAACGTCACCATATGACTAACATAACATGAACTATCGAAATGTAGCGTTCTCATAAAGTCTATGGTCAGTTATGATGCAGTGGGTTTCTGTCAACGAGCATCTCCTTGCGTCATCGCTACTGACACATAGCGCCTCCAGCAGGCGTCGTGAAGATGGGCAGCAAAGAGTCTCGAGCAGGTGCGTCAAGTCAGCTGATGATAACTAAAACAAGACTGCCTTCAAAATAAAATCATGTCATTGCTTTTAAACCTGATACCATCAGTCAGAATTAGGGATACATTTACAAGAGATTATTCCCTGAAAACAGAATTTCTAAATAAATATCCAAACTTTAAGTTGATCAGGGATGTTGTGAGGGTTTCCCTTACACAAAAAAAGTTGCAAACTTAGAAACATAGTCAAGTCAATTTGATTTACATAGCCCAAAATCACAAATGACAAATTTACTTTAAGAGGCTCTGTACAGCATATGACAGCCTCTACCCCCCTAAAAGCCCTTCAACCCCTTAAACATATGGACAGGAATACAATACAAAAATACAAAATGTAAAGTTACCATCATGTAGTCCTTTTTTGTAATTTTTTTAAATTGTATTTGTCAACAAATATATTGCATCCACAACTGCATCCACAGTTTGTGAAGACTTGATAACACATTGCAACAGAGTTGCAATGATGTTTAATGATTAATGACTAAACACAACAGTGTGTAATAAGTGATTTAGTAACTCTCAATACACAATATACAAATCATCTACATAGTGTGTTATAATCAGTGGCAGAATTTAACTTCGGTAACACTTTCTATGAAGGTCTTCGCTATAATGACTTATGCATACATTTGTAACACGATATAATGCGTCCATAAGACATTATAACAATTGCTATAATCACTTACAAACATGCATTAGGCGCTATAGCAAAGTTCATAACGTATTATGACCTTTTGATTTAATGTTTTATAACTAATAGTAATACCAGTTTATATCAATGTGTGACAAGAATCTCCGACCATGTTCCATATAACCATCAACTCTGCCTCGTTATAAATACACTTTAGTCACAATTTAGAATTAGAGATGTGGAAATGGAATAAAATAAAATAAAAAATAAAATAATAAAATAATTCCAAAAAAATAAATGGAATAATAGCTTATAGTTATGTTTAATGTTATATAGCATGTCTTGTTTGTTTTAAGTAAAGTGTTAAAATGTCCATCCCTGTATAATATGTTACAGGTGGACATAATACCATGTGGACAAATTATAAGAACTTATAACTTTAAGTAAAGTGACACACATTTTGTGCAGGAAAACAACTTTTATTTATGTTTCTTCACTTTATGAACAATCTGTATGAATTTTGAACATTTGGAAGTTTAGCACAAAACACATCATCGTCAAGGAAACTCATTCTCGGGGTAGTGAGAGATCACTCAAGAGAAGACCTGTTGCCAACCATACAACATCATGAAAGAAGAGGCTCAGATGTTGTCACAGATGAATATTGAGCCTATGGACAGGCATTAACAGATGCAGTGGACAATTGGAGACAACTGCTTCACAAAACGTATTGAAGGAAATTTTTAATTAATTGAATGGGAATAGCCTACTGTTTGGGCAGTAGGGGTGAGAATCTCTTGGCACCTCACGATTCAATTTGATTACAATTCAGAGGGCAGTGATCCATCTTGATGCATCATTTTTTAACCAAAGGTTATGTTGTGTTAAAAACATTTATTCATTGATTATATACTCTATATAAATAGAGGGGGTAAAAATAAACTGTTACCTTAAAATGTGTATTTTGTTTTTGCTTACTTCTAGGTCTTATTCAAAATAGAAGTTCCAAGGAATTCCACGAGATACTGTCTTTAAAAGAATTTTTGGATCTGCCACCAAAAAGGACAGGGACAGACTACAACGGACAGTCAGGACTGCAGAAAAAATCATTGGTGCCAACCTGCCCTCCAATCAGGACAACACATATATGTACTGAATTAAATCTGAAGAAACTCATTTACTGGGGTTTGTATACAGAAATACATTTCCAGAATCAGGAAACGGGCAGGAAACATCACTGCAGATCCATCTCACCCCGGACACAACCTGTTCTAGCTTCTTCCCTCTGGTGGGCGCTACAGAGCACTGTACGCCAAAACTAACAGACACAAGAACAGTTTCTTCACACAAGCCATCACAGCTGACTCCGACTCACAGTGTCAGGAACAATTCCTGTGCAATAACCCAGTAACTCTGATCAGCCACCTGTTTACTGGCTACCACTTATCATTTATTCATCATTCTCTATTTCAGAGCTGTTCATACTGTTCATATTGTATATACTGTATACCAAATCCATCTACCTCATATACATAACACCTGCACATAATACTTATTTATTCCAGCATTCTTTGCACTCATCACACTGTGTACATGTATGCTACATGTGTATGTGCACCTATATATCACATCCACCTCCAACATGTACATAATTCTAACAATAATGGTAATAATAATTCATTCAAAAGCTCATTGCTCTATATTCTCTATACTCTAGCCTGTGTTTGATTGTATTACTGTATTATTTTACAAGTAAGCACGTCGTGAGCATTGTACAATCCAGACTCAAATTCCTCTTATGTGTACACATACCTGGCAATAAAGCTGATTCTGATTCTGATTTTATTTTGGAAAGACCAACCGGAGGTTCTATTTACTGGTGAACTTCCGGCATAAGCAGACGCCGAGGATGAGCTAAAACACCTCAGGGCCGAGTTCTTCTGCTTAAGGAATGTTATCTTAACCCAATAAGAGGACATATGTTCTCAGGGAATTTGAAGTTGAAGAGGTGAAAAAATAAGAAAAAATAATATTTCCAAGGGGATGGTGTCTTCAGCATTGACAGAGTTAGTTAAATTTGGTTTGTTTGTGGGAAACAAGGATTTGGATTTTGTTCTTAACGTTGTAATGCTATTGGGGAAATCCTTATACAGATTAAACCCTGCTTGAACTACAGGAAGAATGAGATAAAATGTTTGAATAAGTCACTGAAACTTGTAAAAACAAGAAAACCCTAAAATTGGTTTCATTATTAAGCAGATTTACCTCAATTTGAGGTAGCCCTACCGTTATTTTATTTATTTTATTTATTTATTGTATTATTCCTTATAATTTGATGTCAGCTTTGTTATTTGCTGAACCTGATGTAAAGGATGTAAAGGATGTAAAGATATATAAGATGTGATATGATGCCGGTTTTGTTTGTTGTGTCCTAAATAAAGGAGAGAGGGGGGGAAAAACAACAACTCAGGGGCGAGTTCAGCGCCGACAAAACGTAGCAAAACGTTTTTTTAACAAAAACGGTGGTGCCTTGAACACCCTGCTGTGTACGCACTGAATTTTCTTACCTTTCAAACACCGTTGTAGTTACTAACTTGTGGCTGCTGATTGGGTAACACCTAGGACACGCCCACCAAACGGGAGAAAACATACCTCGAAGCCCGTTGCACAACGTTGCACAACGTTGCAAGGAAACATGCCGTTCAATCAGAAAACGTTGCAAACCGGTGCAAAACGTTTTGAGATTGAACTCGCCCCAGATGAAGGAGTCGTCTCCGGCGGGCAGGATAGTGACGTCATGACCCGCCCTGCTCTGCCTCTGATTGGCTAGTACTCGTCGCCTTCGTTGTTTGGGTTGCTTAGGTTTAGGCGAGAGGAGTTAGATTGGCTAGGGTTATGGTAAGGATATTAGAGTAAGCCAATCAGAGGTAGAGTAGGGCGGGTAATGCCTTCACTATCCTAGGGAAAAAAGAATTACCTCCAGCTATGGTGAAGCATCGTTAAAAAGACAACAAAAACTGAATATACACAGGCACCTGCCGATTTGCGGTAAGTTTATACATTTGGGTTTTCATCCCCACTTTGATTCAACGTTTCTTTGTCTCTTTTAACGACACTTGTAGTAAAGGCGGAAGTGTTGAACTTTGCAGGCCAAGACTGTTCGGAAGTTAATGTAGCAAAATGATACCACTTCTGCTCGGATTATTAATGAAGCAGATGTAGTGGTTTGATTTCAATGTAACAATTGCAGAGACGTTGAACTTAAATGTTACATTACAGTTTTAACTAGCTAGGTAACCGAAACTTGTACCAAATAGTTAATAAATTAAGCTGCAAAATAATCAAATGAAAATAATATTTGCAGCCCTAAAGCAAATGAGTAAGCAGTTACTCACATTTGAAATGTTTTGATATAAAACATAAAATCATAACTGGAAGGGATGGACTTGTGTTTTCTGTAGATCAACTCGTTGAATAATTGACTAATGGTTCAAGCTTTATAAGATAGTCTGTCTGTGGTAATGGACTCCACCCCGCACCACCAGTGTCCTCCATGGATTTCTGTATTTGCTGGATGTCTTTAGCATCCTAAGATGTATTATAATAGTAGTATCACCTTACATTGGTTCTGAACATCTGTTGGCATTTCGCTGTATTGTACATACAGTATAGTGATCGCACCTGTCCTCCACAGAGAAATTTTGACCTCGTCCCCAGACCAGCCAGGACAGGACAGCAGGACAGAGATCAGACCGGTCATGGCTGCCAGAAGGCAGAGACCTGCAGCTGCCTCAGCTGGCACAGCAGAGGCCAAAAAGATGGACCTCAGGACCAACGAGAAGAAGTGCTGTGAGTGGTTTATTTTCCCTGTGTGTGTGCGCCCTGAAGGTGACATTTATTTCCCCTAGGGGGGATAAATAAAGGAATATCTTATCTTAAATGTTGATTCATTATCTGAGGCTCCAACCTGCTCTGTATTCAACATTGAACTGCATCCTGACTATGTCATTATATAATATAATGCAGTAAAATATTGCTGTAAATCACATTTCTTACTCTGTTGGCCATGAGTAAAGAAAGGCGATAAGGTTTCTGCAGGCACTGATTGTTAATGTCAATGTCAATTTTAATGCACCTTCTGTTTTTTTAGTATGTATGTTTGTAAAGGCAGGTACCACAGCGCCTTTAAAGCATAGTAATACTGTAATGAGCAAGGTCAATATTCAGAGTCAGCCAGTAAAGAGGCCTCTGAGCTCGCCTTCGCTTTAACTTCACATTCAGACATTCATTGAGGAAGCTTTAATCAGGAACGGGAGATGGTTCCAACATGATTCCAATCAAAATAAGTCTTGAACACAAAACTATTTGAGTCAAGTTTGGTCTCGCTAGGTATTTGTTTTTAGCAAAAAAATCAGTTTTAATATTTTCCATTTCATGTCCCAGCCAACATAGTTACACTGGATCACTAAACTTGGATTCTAAACATTAACAAGCCATCGAGAGATGGCGATGGTGTGACAGAAATGTTGTATTTATCATTATACAACAAAAGGGTGTGCAAAATGAAACTTTAGAATCCGATTCGAAGAACGTAAGCAGCCGTAACAACATAGTAATGATAATATGGTATTCACCATATTCACATACAACCCTGTTATTACAAATAGGACAATAATGTAATTATAAAACTTGTGAAGGGGGATGTAGGTCATAAAATGTCATCCCGTGTTTAGTACCTAAAATCTCTGGTTGTGTTTATGTGTGTATGTGTGTGCAGCTTGGGCTTCCTACATGACCAATTCTCCAACTGTGATAGTGATGATTGGGTTGCCCGCCAGGGGGAAAACCTACATGTCCAAGAAGCTGACACGCTACCTCAACTGGATTGGAGTACCAACTAAGGGTCAGTACAGACTCAAGAGTTTTATGCGTGCCATGAACTTTGATCTCTCCACAGGAAACACAGCCAATATGAAACAGGTTAAGAAATTGAATTGCCTCTGTGAGCCCTGTGAAATATCAGAGAGATTGTTAAATGAAAGCATTTTGTTATTTTAAGAGATAGCTTTAATCCACCATGATACATAGTTCCTTTATGAAGACTGTAATGGCAATGACGTTATATTTATGCCAACCACCTATATGAACTATACACACTTCTGTTGTCATATAAATTGAATGCAGAACTGGGAGAACTGGTTTGGCAGACCCCTCCCCTGACATACAGTAATCCTCCTTTTCATTATCTTTCTTTTTCTGACTGCCCTTCTTGGTTCCCTTGCAGTATTTAACCTTGGAGTTTATAGGAGAGAAGCAGTGAAGTCATACAAGTCCTATGACTTCTTCAGACATGACAATAAAGAAGCAATGGAAATTAGAAAGTGAGTTCCTCTTTATATTCTCCTTTGGTGCAGTAGATTAACTCCTTTTCCTACATTCATCATTTTTGCATGTGTTATGAGGTGTAAGTAAGTAAGTAAGTAAGGCAAGGCCAGGCAAGGCAAGTTTATTTGTATAGCACATTTCAACAACAGGGTGGTGCGGTGGTGCAGTGGTTAGCACTGTCGCCTCACAGTCACCAAGCATAAAATGTTTAAGCAACACAGGGAAATTGAAAAAGAAACACATTATTGAAAAGGGTGAAATAGAAAATAAAAACAGGATTTAAAAAAAACAGGGTAAAACAGGATAGTAAAAGTTTCAGTGCAGTGTACAATCAGGGTTAAAATAGTTAAATAGAAAATAAAAACAGGCTGAGGGGTTATATAAATAATTGAGTTACAATTATTTTTTATCTTTGAAAAGAGAATAAACAGAGAAGTATCTATTCTCTCCAGCTAGTCTGTACTCGGGTCCATAGCAATATTTGTGTCCACTGAATTTGGTTACGTGTGAGGCTATGCGCTGCTAACCCAACTTATCAGCTGGAAACCCCAAAAACCCTCGGACACTACAGAGAAAGCAGGACATGTCTGTCTTCAGGCCACTTTGATCCAGTTATACTTTGGACCGACTAGCACGTTTACAGGTGGGCAGAGGATCCTGCAAATCACTCAGGCGTGAGATTTAAGACCACTTCCTTCACTCTGTTCAATCTTACTCTCTTTATCTTTTCACTCAATTACCTACTCATTTCTCACTGTGTAAATAGTGTTTACTGAAAATCAATGTGTCCTGCAATTCACATTAGTTCTCGCAGCTAGCTGCGTTCTTAATCGACGCACAAGCCGAGTGATCCACCGCTAAGAGTAAGAGTAAGTAAGTAAAGTTTATTTGTTTAGCACCTTTCACAGATAAAAATCACAAAGTGCTTCACAATAAAATGTAATACAATACAACAAAGTAAAATACAATGCATAAGAAAATTTAAATACAAATGGAAAATATAGAACAAAAACCATAAAAACCCCTCGTCTAACTAAAAGCCTGCTTGAATAGCAGAGTCTTCAGTTGCTTTTTAAAAGAATCGACAGAATTCACACAACATAGAAAGGGAGGCCAAGCATTCCACAGCCTAGGTGCCACTGCTTGGAGTGATCGATCCCCTCTGGTTTTAAAATGAGTGTGGGGAACCACTAACAACCTCTGACTACAGACTATGGGTTGGAGTATGAAGCTGTATCAACTCAGAGATGTAGGGAGGAACTTGGCCGTGCACGGCTCTAAAAGTAGGGACCAGGATTTTAAATTGAATTCTGTTCTGGACTGGTAACCAGTGAAGTGATGCTAAAACGGATTTGATGCACGCTCTTTTGTTAATGTGAGTTGAAAGCCTTGCAGCAGAGTTCTGAACAGCCTGGAGGCGGTAAAGCTCTTCTTGCTCAAACAAGTAAAAAGACTGAACGAGAGGAAATAAAAGCATGAATGATCTTCTCCAACTCAGACTTTGACACCAGTGTTCTTAATTTGGAAATATTCCTTAGTTGGAAGAAACATTTTCTGACTAATTGTTTAGAGTGGTACTCCAAGGACATCGCTGAATCAAAAACAACACCTAAGCTCCTGAGGCTCGGCTGGATAGTAAGTCACCAATATGCTGCTTTATCTGAGGGATGCTACTTTCAGGGGTGATAATTAGTGTTTCTGTTTTCTCTGAGTTCAGAAGCAGGAAGTTGTCACATAACCACTGGTTGATACTGGTCAAGCAGTTACAGTAATTAAAGAAGACAATTTATGGAACTCCATTTCCCTAAACGAGCATTACAGTTGAATGTCATCCGCATACAGATGGTCAAATATGTCAATGAATTGACTAACTATCTGTCCTAGAGGAAATATATACAAAAGGAACAGGATGGGTTCCAAGACAGAACCCTGAGGTACAACCCTGCAGTTTTAGACATGATCTGATTCACATAAACACTAAAACTTCTACCAGAATGGTAGGATGAAAGCCATTTTAAAATTAATCCAGACATCCAAACCAGATCTATTATCATAATATTATGATCAACAGTATCAAAAGCAGATGAAAGGTCCAAGAGGACCAAAACGGTATATTCCTTAGAGTCAGCTGACATCAGAATGTCACTAGAAACTTTAAGTAATGCAGTTTCTGTGGAATGCATTTTACGGAAACCAGACTGGAATTTGTCAAACAGCTTGTGATTCTCCAGGAAAAGGGTGAGTTGCTCTGCTACAACTTTTTCTAGAATTTTTGACATGAATGGAAGTTTGGATATTGGCCTGTAGCTCCTGGGTTGTAATGGATCCTAACTGGGCTTTGTAAGTACAGGCTTAACAACAGCATGTTTTAAAAAACTAGGAACGACACCAGTTAAAAGTGAAGTATTAAACTTCTCTATAATACAGGAGCCAATAGAATCAAACACTTGTACAAATAGCACAGTAGGGAGAGCATCCATTAGACAAGATGAGGGTTTCAATGTATGTAGCAGAGGTGATGTCATGTAATGTCACAGGTTTAAAATAGGACCAAGAATGAGCGGGAGACAGGTCATATGCATTGTTCTGAGAAAGTGATGGTGAGATGTTTGCCCTGACATCGCTGATCTTATTTACAAAGAAGTGAAGGAATTCATTACAGTCCTATTTAGAGGACACAGTTGCTTGAGGGGCAAAAGGAGGAGATGTGAAGGTGTCCGTCATGAGTAAAAACACCTGGTTACTTTTCATGTAGTCTTTCCAGGTCTCTTTTGACAGCATTTTGTTTGTTTAACAAATGGGGTTATAGTTATTACAGCGTGTTAAGTCTTGAAGATGCATTTAAAAGCTAACTTCTTTGATTTCCTGAACAGTTTTCTCATTATGTTTCCACAGACAGTGTGCCTTGGTGGCACTGGAAGATGTCAAGGCCTATCTGAATGAGGAGGGAGGCCAGATCGCTGTAAGGGAACAAAAAAAACCTGTCCATCTGTATTTGCTGTAATAATTGTAATTTGGTCTGAATATCCTATGTTGTCTGTCAGGTTTTTGATGCCACCAACACCACCAGAGAGAGGAGGGAGCTCATCCTTAATTTTGCACAGAATAATGCATACAAGGTTATAGATGCATTGTTGGTTTAATCATTTTAGCACAGACAGTATATTTTCACATACATTATGGATTTCTAATGATTCGTGTCTTTTTTCAGGTGTTTTTTGTTGAATCAATATGTGACGATCCAGATGTCATCGCTACAAACATCCTGGTAAATGGTGCATTTGTGCTCCACTTTACGCTGATACTTGTGTCCTTTTATTGTTAGACGTGATGGTGAATAATCTTTACCAAATGTCTCTTTCATAAAGGATGTGAAGGTGTCCAGCCCAGATTACCCTGAGAGGAACAGAGAAAGGGTCATGGAGGATTTTCTGAAGAGAATAGAGTGTTATAAAGTGACGTACCAACCTTTAGATCCGGACGAACACGACAAGTAAGAGGTCATTTCTGTTAAAGATGCTACCAGTATTATTTCTTTACTTTTTGCCTTGACTTTGTTTAACAACTCTCAACACTAATGTAATCAAAGCAAAAGTCATTTAGGCCTTCAAGTGTGCCGGGAATTGTTTGTAAGAACATGCACCTGCAGAAACTATCCAGCAGATGGAGCTCATTTATAATAGTGATGGTTATTGTCTGCTATTTAATGGGTTTGGTTTTGTGGAAATTATATACCATGAATCCAAAAATAAGGAAGTTTCTTTATATAGCACATTTCAGCAGCAAGGCAATTTAAAGTGTAGACATCAAAAGCATCAAGCCAAAGTGCAAAAGGACACATTTCAAAAGGATATTGAAATACAATTAAGAGCCAAGAGAATAGAAAATAAAAAGAAGCTAAATAGAAACAAAAACAGAATAAGATAGGTATGAAATAAAAGAAAAGTTAAAGTGCATTGTAAGAAATGAATATTGTTATTATTGTTGTTGTTGTTGTTGTTGTTATTATTTATTGATTCAATACAAGGCAGTGGCAAACAGAGAATTCTTGATTCAAAAGAACTGAGAGTTGTTGAGTTTGTTCCAGATGTATGATGTATAAAAACCGAACGCTGCTTCTTCATGCTTAGTTTTGACTCTGGGGACAGAAAGCAAACCTGAAATTTAGGTAATGTGGTTCCAGAAAAACCACTGATTCAGAGGTTATAACTTAGAAGTTAAACTCTGCTTTCTGTAATTTGTTTGATTTCTTATTAATTAACTGATCATGTTTGCAAATTCCACACTGCATTATCCATTTATTTAAATAAGTAACCTAAGAATATTTCATTTTATATCTTTGTTTGTAGAGGTGAAATAGTTGTTGATCTTGTTGAACCTTGAGCTGTTGACAGAATGTTCTGAAGTGTCTGATAGACAAAATATCAGGATATTTAGACTACAGCAAAAGTACAAGATGTCTCTTCCCATATCCTTGAGCCTTGATGACTTTCTGTTTTCCTCTTTTGGCACTGACACACAGGAACGTTTCCTTCATCCAGGTTATCAATGTTGGCCGTCGTTTCTTGGTCAACAAGGTGCAGGACTACATACAAAGTAAAATAGTGTACTACCTCATGAACATCCACGTACACTCCCACTCCATCTACCTCTGTCGGCACGGAGAGAGCCATCACAATGTGGAGGGACTCATCGGGGGAGACTCTGAACTGTCAGAGAGAGGGAAACAGGTGCATTAACAAAGCATCTCACTTTATATTTCTTAACTCTATAAAGATAGCAGCATTTCCAAGTCTTAAAGGAATAGGTTTGACATTTTGGAAAATACACTTATTTGTAGGGATGCCTCTGACTAAAGATTTTCCTAGTAGACTAGTAGTCGTTTGTTCAAGCCATTAGTCAACTAGTTGTCTATGTTAATGATTAATTTAATTATTTTAATATTTATATTTGGAGCATCAGAAACGGTTTGAGTTTCAGTGCCTAGAAATAATGTTATAAGTAACATTGTAAACACTGTTACTTACAGAGAAATACAGAACCATAATAAACTAGGGCTGCGCGATATGGCCTATTAATAATATTGCGATATTTTTAGGCAACTCGTTATATCTCGATATACACATTTTGTCTAAAATAACATGCAGTACATCCTCATAATGCAAACATGATGATGTTGCAGAATAAGATGTACTGCTGTGGATGAAACTACCCAACAGTTTATAAAGTAGTTAAAATTGTACAATTAGCTCAACCTTTAACATCCACAGCAGTAAAATGCAACGTATACATTAATGCAGCAGTAATATTAATCCAAAAACATAAGATATAATAGTAAAGCGCTGACAGGGATCAGTTTACTGCACAGTGACTACTAAGTAAATTTTCATATAATTCTTGCAAACTTTTACCTTAGTAAGTTTAGAATGTAGAACTTTTACTTGTTGTCGGTAGGGCTGAAACAATTCATCGATTAAATCGATTAATTTGATTACTAAAATGCATCGACGCAAATTATTTGTATTTAATCCATATAACTAGTAGTAGTATACACTATACATACACTGTGTCGCAGGACCATCCCATGTCCAAAGTATGGGATTATTTCAAGCTAAAAGAAAACAACAACTCTGTAATGTTACAGTCTGTCCACCATAAAACGAAACTTATGTTGCCTAATTAGCTAGCTTTAACTTCTGTCTTTTTCATACAGTATGTTCTACTTTATCAGTTTGCAGCAGCACTGAAGAATTTTGTGGAAGAGCACCGTCTGTCAGACCTTAAAGTTTGGACCAGCCAGCTGAGACGCACTATTCAGACAGCAGAGGAGCTGGGAATCCCTTACGAGCAGTGGAAGATCCTCAATGAAATAGATGCTGTATGTTCTCAGATACATCACAAAAGTGACACAGAGTGGTGATCTGCCATCAACATTGTTTTTGAGTGAGGGCCTGTCTTGAGTTTTGACTGTTTTCATTACTTTATGTTTCAGGGAGAGTGTGAAGAAATGACCTATAAAACGATTGAGGAAAAATACCCAGAGGAGTTTGCCATGAGGGACCTTGACAAGTACCACTACCGCTACCCTGGAGGAGAGGTAAAAGCCTTCTCTTTCCTATAAAGTGATGTTTGTCCTTTTTGTGTATTACTGATTGAGTCAGACATGTGTTGAAGATTTATGTAACTGACAGATTAGGATCTGTTATATATATGGCCATGATGTTTTTAAAAATAAATTAGAAAATGATCTTCTATAAAAACTGTATCAAAAAATAACAAAACTGAATTCTGTATTATTTGATTCTTTCGCTGTAGTCCTACCAGGACCTGGTCCAAAGGCTGGAGCCCGTTATCATGGAACTGGAGCGACAGGGCAACGTGCTGGTCATCTGTCATCAGGCTGTCATGCGCTGCTTACTCGCCTATTTCTTGGACAAGAGCGCAGGTTAAATGCACAAACAGATACATAACCTTAAGATAAGATAAAGCCTTACATTATTAAGACACATTCACAGTATACTGTTCAGTCACTGCTAACATCAGTTTGTTTTATCATTTATCTAAACCTTGCATCATAATTATACTCGAAAGTCTTTAACACAAGCGCTTAGTAAAGTAATTCAAGGCCATATTGTTCCCCTGAGATCTGAAATAGTGTCACATTGCAGCTAAACTAAACATTTCTGAGGGGGCTGTTGAAGACACACTTGAGAGATGTTAAGTACCACCTAAAGACTGATATAACCTTAATGATACAGAAAAGCTAACTAAAAATAAAATGTTCCACTCCAGTTAACAAATTAAAAAAACTATTGGCAAAGCATAGCTTGAGTGGGTGAGTAGCAATTTCCAATCCACTCATTTGATTACAAAACAAGTAGAAGTGCTCTATTTTTATGTGGAGAATATCACACGCAGCACTACAATATTTAGGCATTTTTTGTGACCTTTAAATGGGGAAAAAAAAAGGTGGATGTCTTAACCAACTCAGGCATATGTACAATAGCACCAGACTGCAAAATAGTCACACAAAATATGGTGCTTTTGTGGAAATCAAACTTATGAATGATCGCATCTCGATATCTTTGATCCATTGTATAAAAAAGATAGGGAAGGGGGCCTTCCGAATAATGAGGCAAACTTGTCACGCTAACAATGAAGCAAATGTTATAGCATTTGATGACATGAATTTTGACTGGATCCTAATTACTAACAAGAATATGTATAAACATGTGGAAATGGGCACAAATCATAACTGACTAGTTAGAGTGGAAAGTCCTGCTTAAAAACACACCCGTAATGATGCGTGGGCAGATGGTGGGATTGTCAGTCAGCAGAGGAAGTGGTCTATAGTCTAAACCACAGCTAAACCGATGAGTGTGGGTGCAGCTGTGGCATTTTCCCACTATGACACTGCAACCTTAACACAGCAATCATGTACTGTACCTTGGAAGAAGTTTACAGCTGTCCATACGGAGTGATATGCCATCCCAAAAATTTAGGAGGGAACATAAACATGACTGGATATAACCACAGCACAGAAAGTCTTACTTGTTCTTATTATTGTTGGCACAGATGATCTGCCCTACTTGAAATGTCCCCTGCACACTGTCCTTAAACTCACCCCTGTGGCTTATGGTAAGTCACTACCCTCTTCATAAGTCAACACAGTCTAACTTTTTCCTTTGTTGGGATTTGAAGTATTTTTTCCTGTCTCCCTCTACAAGGTTGTAAAGTGGACGTGTTTGACTTGAAGGTGGAGGCTGTCAACACTCACAAGGACAGACGATTAGTAAGCTTCTGACCTTTCTATTATTTTGTGTCGGACACATGTTGTCAGTTTTTCTCTTTCGGACGTTTATGTCTATCTATCCATGCTGCCTGAATGACCAGTTGAACCCCCATACCCATGACTGGACAATCTCCTCTAAGCTTTCAGAAGCCAAATATCTAGTCTTCTCTCAAAAGTCCTGGTCGCAGTTGCATTACTCTGTGATCTAGAGATCCAAAGAAGTTAAAAGTCAAGGGCAACCTTCACAGACATCTGTGTAGAGAGATAAATGCATACTTAAGTTCAAATTAGTTTATTGTAATGTATCCACATACCGAGTATACAAATGAACGGAATGCCATTCCAAGGTGCTAAAACAAAATCACAATAATTCAGCTTAATAGAAAAGATACCATACAACACAACATAGTAACTGACATTAGACAAGATACAGCTGATCAATTACTGTAAGGCAGAGTGAGCATGGTATGACTGGAGCATTATAAAGTGTGTACTGTAACCCGCATCTGTATAAGTATATACTTAAATATTAGCAGCAACAGAATTACTTTACAGTAACAGGAGTAATAACAGTATGTAAACAGTGTCAGGTATATAGGGTCGTGTTTGTATTTCACATAAATCTCAATCATTGTGATAAAATGTCTGATTTCCAGCCACAGTTAGCTATAAAAAGAGGAGACACAACTTTTAAAGAAACAGTTTGGGAAGCCAGCACTTCTAATGTTATGTACGGGACCATTTTTTGCAGCCGGGCACAAGAAATAGTCCAGCACATAACACCCAGCAAAAGCCACATTAAACAAATGAGATAGAACGTGCTAATTAGAGTGTTTGAGGTGTTGATAGGCAGATTTTTTGCCTTCACACAGACCCAGACAAGCCAGTCTTTAAGTTAAGCTACGCTAACCGGCTCATGCCTCTAGCTACATACAAAAGACAGATAGGAAAGTATTTTCGATCTTCTCATCTAACTCTTGTCAAGCAAAGTTTCCAAATTATTATTAATTACCCGTTTGAGCATCAATACCTCTATCTTCTCTGTCCATCAAAGAAAGGAACAGCAAAAAGCAGCACAATTTTACTGATTGTATGTGCTGTATTGTCAAAGCCCTTACACTCCACCAGAGCTGCCATCATCGCTTGCGACCATTGTACATAGCTTTGGCTATTTATAGCACCTGTATTATCATGAATTCATCACATGTATCTATAAACCATTATCCATATTGATAACTCCTGATAACTAAGTGTGATCACCAAAAGTAATCAATGATTTATTTCATCATCCTCATTGAAAGAGACATTGAAAAAGAACAGGGGGGGAAATGATGCCTTCAATGTCAATAAAAAGAAATATACAATTAAGAAAACAGAAGAAATTCATCAGAATTAGCTTTAATATGTAATTTGGACTTGGTGCTGGGCAGGTGTCGTACAGTGGGTTTATCAGAGCTTTTAATCTGAAAATAGCTTCCTGCATCTGGAAAACAACCCTGATGAGAGTGTTCAGAGTGAACCAAAACAACTGAGATGCGAATGCTAAAAACAAAAACAATGATCTGAAAGACACCGAAATGCTCTGAAGATCTTAGGCGAACTGGAAAGACACGTGATAATCTGTGGGTTCATCGCTGCGAGTAACCCTTTTCACATTCACATAGTCATTTGAGCCATTATCTTACTATATAGCACCTTTAATGTAACGACTAAATGTTCATTATTGACAATCACACTCAGTTCATCAATCAGTGTCAAGGAATGCCCATGACACATACAGTACTGTGCCTTTTGTATTCATTTCCTAATCAGACTGCTCCGTATCTGTTCCCTGGTTGTAGAGTTTGTGCTGGTTTGTGCCGAGTGTTGACACCAAGAGTCCTAGACAGAGTGGGTGTTAACACATAAACACATTTACTGAGAAACCTCTTGTTAAATGGGGTGAGATATATCCTGTCTGCGGAGACCAACATAACAATGGCCTATATATTTATTGCTGTTTGTCTCTGTAGTTGTTTTTCTGTCTTTGCCTGCTCATACTGACTTATAAGGACACAGTGATTTCAGAGAGGTTTGATTACTATAACATAAAAAAAAATGTGTTAATCAGTCCGCCTTGTCTTCATTAACCAGAGTAAAGTCACAACAGCTGCTGTGCCACCAGCTTTCCACCGACGAAACAGCTTCACTCCGCTGTCCAGCCAAGACCAGATTAAACGACCTCGTCTATATAGCGTGGGCAACCCTCCACAGACCCGCATGTCCCAGGCCCCCACTTTACCCAGCATGCTGTTCTCTGAGGCGTCTGAGGGGGCGGAGCAGCTACAAAGCGAGGTCAGTGTACAGCACAGTGTGTGGTGTAAATATTTCTGTGTATAAGATAAAGAGGTTTAAAGATGTTTTAAATGGAAGGAAAAAGTAAATATGAAAAAGAGACAGAGTGAGAGAGAGAGACGATTAATAAATAAAGCTGAATACATCAATAAATTATAATGCTAGTTAAATAATAAAATTTTTTGTGTAAAAATAAAAACAACCCTTATAATTTTTCATTAACCTTCAACCATTTGTTCTTGGGATACATATACTGAACTGCATACTGCTGAAGTGATACTGTATAACAGTAACTAAAGCCTTTTAACGCTAACAAAGTTAGCCACCTAGTAGCCACACAGTTTATGTAGACTTATACACATACACACAAACCCTGGACCAATTACTGCTCTACATAGACATGTTTGTCTTATTAACATATAAACGTGAGGAAAATTGGAAAAGTGGGGAGGAAAATGTAGCTTTTGGAATAGATAAAGAATTAAATATTTGCCAAGACCTACAAAAATAGGGAAATTAAGTAGTTAAAATAAAAACATTAAAAGATAAATAGAGTAAAATAAATTGAGTTTTAACAATTTGAAAATGCCCGCAATGTAGTTTCATGTTTTTTTAAACAAACAAAAATGCCCTTCACAGTCAGTAGTTTGTAGTTTCCCAGTTTTTTTGCCTGTGTTGTTGACTACAAAGTGCCCTTAAATTTACGGCACTTCAAAGGCTGGAAAGTGACAGAAAAACTGAAAGGGAGTGTTTCACTCTGGCTGGTGACCTCAGATTTTAATATTAGCTCAAGTTCAGTCAGTGCCAGTCTAAACAAATGCCTCATTCCTCGTGTGGTTTGGTGTTTTGGTCCATGCCTTCTACCTTCTCTCCCTTCCTTGTGCACTCTGCAGGACTCTGTGAACGGTTTCAGTGCAGCAGACACAGACGACAACGGCGTTCGGAGTTAAAAAAGCACAAACAGAGGTATTTTCAGCCTTCTCCTCTTATCTATCATGTGGAACACCTGTAGTCTCCACCTCAGATATCTCACAGCTTTTGTTTTGTCATTTATCCCAGGCTTTTCTCCACATGGATGTATCACCACTTCTGAGGACCACCAATTGCAACCAGCTTGAGCCATTACATTCCTAAGCACTGTATTATGCACCACATTGTGTAACCCTACATGTGTCATGTGCGTGTTAGTGTAAGTGTGCACGTACATACATGAACTCAATGCATTTGCACAATAGCATTAAAATCTAGGCTGCGATCCACCTGAGATAATGTAAAGATCTACAGTAAAGAGACTCTGAAAACCCATCCATTAGCTCCTATTACACTCCACATTCTGTAGTCTACAGTCATATTGCTGTATTAGATGTAGAACATGTTGAATATGAATTGTATACCTCACTGGAAGCTACTGCCTTCAGTTTTATTGTAAGTGTACCTCTCTTTAAGGAAGCCACACACAGCCTTAGTTTTCCCTCACATTCTCTCTTTTAAGTTACCTATTTAAACATTCCCACATTCATTGGGTGGTCTGACATGATGTTGTAATCATTTTATTTGTTGTGTAATTCAAAGCATATTAAATTGCAACAGAGCTTGCAGCAGGCAGACACAAGCTGTAAAAAGTAGTGAAATGTTTCGTTTAGCACTATAAAATGTGCAACAGCTACTGTGCTTTTCCTGTGACAATTATTCTTGTCACGTCAAATCTCTTCAATGATGTCTACCTGTGTGTGTGTGTGTGTGTATGATCATATAAATCTGATCACATTTTAACTGATTTGAACTGATTCATATATTGCAAATACAAAGTGTTCGACCGCGCTGGAAATTTTTAAATGTATTTTAGTTTCTTCCCAAAGAAAAGTAAATCAGTCATACTGTATGTTCAGTTTGGCTTTCATGTGGATAACATCTGTTCAAATGACTTTGATGTAAACATCAGGAATAAATCAATTATTTGGAAAAGTGCCTTTATTTAATGGACTACAAGGCTGTAATAGTACATAGGAGTATTTAAAATATAGTATACATGACATACTAGTATATGTAGTATGTAGTAGTAAGTATGTCTCTCCTGGTCAAAGTAATGGCAATACATTTGGATGTCTTAAAAAGAGCTTTAATTTTATTGCACACTGTGCCCTACATGTTTCATTAAATAAAGTTAATTTTAAGCTGTTTTTATATTGACTTCTGTTTTTTTTCTCTGGAGTATTTAACATTATTTTGACCTCATAAAAGCCTATTAGTTTGGTGTGGGCGTGTGAGCTCATTGGTATCCTTCCTGTCTGCTAAACATGTCCCTAAAGAACAAGAAATGATAACATCACAGCAACTGAAAAAACAAACCAAGAACAACAAATAGTCAATGCACATTTCACACTTCATCTGATGCCAAATCTAGATTTGTAAATTAGATGTTTATGGTAAGAGGTGGCATTTGTCAGAATGATATACAGTGAGGAAAATAAGTATTTGAACACCCTGCTATTTTGCAAGTTCTCCCACTTCAAAATCATGGAGGGGTCTGAAATTGTCATCGTAGGTGCATGTCCACTGTGAGAGACATAATCTAAAAAAAAAATATCCAGAAATCACAATGTATGATTTTCTAACTATTTATTATCACTGAGTCACTCCTGAGTTCTATACAATTACATAAAAACTTCTGTGTGGCACGTTAAATTCTGAATTAGGAGTTATTATTTTTGCTCTGCTCACTGACAGTTTCAAAGTAGGCAACAGACTTTGAATAAATGTGATTTTCTTTTTTAAGATGCAGAGTGAGTCATCAGGGAAACTGAGGAGGAAAGGGTCAAATAATCAGTTGTGTTTCAAAGAATTTAATCTGCAAGTTGTTTTGACGCCTGATTTTATCCTTGAATGATAGGATTCAGAAAAAGCTCTGATTAACTTCCACACCAATTACAGATATATAAAAAAATGGCTATGATTAGTTAAAAGGAAAAGAAGGCGAGAGAAGGAACATTGTGCGTCATATTCACTAAACTAAAAAGACACTTGTATGTTAGTCATTCTTAGTTTTAGAAGAAAAATAAATAAACACAGAACTTTCAACAACAGTGCTTTAACTGGATAACATTTACATTTAACTGTCCAGGTGCCCGTTAGGCCATGAAGGTATGGGTCACAGTGACACAGCTGACATTTAGTTTTAATATTCTCTGGCAGGAATGCTACAGTGGGTACGGAAAGTATTCAGACCCCTTTAAATTTTTCACTCTTTGTTTCATTGCAGCCATTTTCCAAAAATCAAAAAAGGAATAATAAGCTTTCTCCCCGATGCCGTACTTCTGTCTGCTGGTGTATTTCTTGTCCAGTCTGGTGTGTGGGTATTCAGATGGTGCCGGACACTTATTTGGTACTCGAGCTATTGGGGGGGTGATACTGCCACTAAAATATCAAAACAATCACAATCACAGCCAAATGTGGATTTTTCTTCAATTTACCTGAAGCAAGTAAAGCAAACCATAAAACCAGAATATATTATAATATAAAAAGGGTCCAGCAGTTTCCAGCTTAATCGGGTGCTTCTCAGCTCAACATGTTCTAACTTCAATAAGGGCGAAACCTGAAACCTTTCTCTGTTTTAACAATTAAACGCTGCAAATAAATGAGTTTCACCTTGAAAAATGTGAACCTACCCTTTACTATAATGTAATTGTTTAAGTAGTACAGTCTAAACAAAAAGCTGCATACATACCCCAATGCTTGTTCTTTCTCCATCTAGTTTTGTTGGCTCTTAAATTTTGGACTATATATGTTATAGACATATAGTTTTCCCACATAATCATTCAACCAAATGTAGGCAACAACTTTCAAACAGAACTCATAATTATATTAGGGTGATCTGCCTGAATAAATTTAGGAGCTAAACCAGTTCAGTTGAATCCTTTACAAGCCAAAGCAAGCACTTGTTTTCCCAAGAATCCAGTTAGATTTCCAAATAGGAATAAGAGTCATGTTGGTAATTCTTATAAAGATGAAAGAAAGTGTTTTGAGTGGCCCGACATTTAAAAAAGGTTTCTATCAGGGAGGGGAGAAAGTCTTCTAGGATTTTTAGAAATGTACAGGAAGTTAAAAATGATTTAGGGCTTTTTTGAGACTTTAAGGGAACAGAGCTCCCATTAGATTTCAGCCCCACTGCACTTTTGATTAATAATAGCCAAGTAGAAAATATAAGAATGTTGATCATAAACATTTTGTTAATTTGACCCTTTAGCACTGTATATCTAAACACAGTCTGTTGAATACTGTTAATAAGCCAGAATTACACTCAGTTGCCAGTTTATTAGATACACCAGCAAAAACCACTGCCTTATAAATCAACTGTTCAGTCCCTTAATTTACATTTACTCATTTGGTGAGAGCTTTCATCCAATGCGACTTAGATTTGAGGAACATGTTCTGAGGTAGGCTTGATTGCACCATCCAGCTACAGTATTGATACACTGAGATGTGTTTCTAATATTTTGTCCACCCCATTTACGACACAGTACAGTTCAACAGCAACATAACCTACATCTTCCAACATTACATACAGTTGAATCAACACCTCTCTGAAATTGAACATCATAACCTTCTGGCCACAAAGTGCATGTCTGAGTATAAACGCATTTTAGAATTGGATTGTATTTTTGAATATTCCCTTCGCTTCAAACATGTCTTCATTCACTGTAAACTAATTGAAGTGTATTCAAGGGTCACAGAGTTTTCAGCTTCTTTTATTTCTGGTTATTTTAATTGCTTCATTTTCACAGTCCAAAATGGTTAGCTGGTGGTTGGTTAGCTTTATGATGTTTTGAATGTAAACATCTAAATCTACAAAGTTTCTGGTAACTGTACAACCACCAGAGGATGTAACAGGGTAAAAAACACAATATTCTATCTAAATGAAATGCTACAATCTACAAATGTTGCTGTTTATGGTTATGTGTGTGTGATTGTGTCTGTTTTTGTTGAGCTTGTTGCCTGTTTGTTTATGCTTCGTGTGTGTCAGACCGGAGTCAAATTCCTCACATACCTGGCCCTTAAAAGTGATTCCAAAAATGGAAATATTCCACTACCTGAAAACTGTGCAGTTCACAAGTTGTTATTTCCACCTCTGCCCAGTGATGAGGTAGTTTCAGCACCCCATCTTGACAGAAAAAAACAGAAATGTAGAAATATTTGCAAATTTATTAAAAAAGAAAAACTGAAATATCACATGGTCATAAGTATTCAGACCCTTTGCTCAGTATTTAGTAGAAGCACCCTTTTGATCTAATACAGCCATGAGTCATTTTGGGAAAGATGCAACAAGTTTTTCACATCTGGATTTGGGTATCCTCTGCCATTCCTCCTTGCAGATCCTCTCCAGTTCTGTCAGGTTGGATGGTAAACGTTGGTGGACAGCCATTTTCAGGTCTCTCCAGAGATGCTCAATTGGGTTTAAGTCAGGGCTCTGGCTGGGCCATTCAAGAACAGCCACGGAGTTGTTGTGAAGCCACTCCTTCGTTATTTTAGCGGTGTGCTTAGGGTCATTGTCTTGCTGGAAGGTAAACCTTCGGCCCAGTCTGAGGTCCAGAGCGCTCTGGAAAAGGTTTTCGTCCAGGATATCCCTGTACTTGGCCGCATTCATCTTTCCCTCGATTGCAACCAGTCGTCCTGTCCCTGCAGCTGAAAAACACCCCCACAGCATGATGCTGCCACCACCATGCTTCACTGTTGAGACTGTATTGGACAGGTGATGAGCAGTGCCTGGTTTTCTCCACACATACCGCTTAGAATTAAGGCCAAAAAGTTCTATCTTGGTCTCATCAGACCAGAGGATCTTATTTATCACCATCTTGGAGTCCTTCAGGTGTTTTTTAGCAAACTCCATGCGGGCTTTCATGTGTCTTGCACTGAGGAGAGGCTCCCGTCGGGCCACTCTGCCATAAAGCCCCGACTGGTAGATTGCTGCAGTGATGATTGACTTACTACAACTTTCTCCCATCTCCCGACTGCATCTCTGGAGCTCAGCCGCAGTGACCTTTGGGTTCTTCTTTACCTCTCTCACCAAGGCTCTTCTCCCCCGATAGCTCAGTTTGGCCGGACGGCCAGCTCTAGGAAGGGTTCTGGTCGTCCCAAACGTCTTCCATTTGAAGATTATGGAGGCCACTGTGCTCTTAGGAACCTTAAGTGCAGCAGAAATTTTTTTGTAACCTTGGCCAGATCTGTGCCTTGCCACAATTCTGTCTTTGAGCTCTTCAGGCAGTTCCTTTGACCTCATGATTCTCATATGCTCTGACATGCACTGTGAGCCGTAAGGTCTTATATAGACAGCAGCTGAGTTAAATATGAGTGTCACGGCAAAGGGTCTGAATACTTATGACCATGTGATATTTCAGTTTTTCTTTTTTAATAAATTTGCAAAACTTTCTACATTTCTGTTTTTTTCTGTCAAGATGGGGTGCTGAAACTACCTCATCACTGGGCAGAGGTGGAAATAACAACTTTAATGTACTTGTGAACTGCACAGTTTTCAGGTAGTGGAATATTTCCATTTTTGGAATCACTTTTAAGGGCCAGGTATGTGAGGAATTTGACTCCGGTCTGACACACACGAAGCATAAACAAACAGGCAACAAGCTCAACAAAAACAGACACAATCACACACACATAACCATAAACAGCAACATTTGTAGATTGTAGCATTTCATTTAGATAGAATATTGTGGTTTTTACCCTGTTACATCCTCTGGTGGTTGTACAGTTACCAGAAACTTTGTAGATTTAGATGTTTACATTCAAAACATCATAAAGCTAACCAATCACCAGCTAACCATTTTGGACTGTGAAAATGAAGCAATTAAAATAACCAGAAATAAAAGAAGCTGAAAACTCTGTGACCCTTGAATACACTTCAATTAGTTTACAGTGAATGAAGACATGTTTGAAGCGAAGGGAATATTCAAAAATACAATCCAATTCTAAAATGCGTTTATACTCAGACATGCACTTTGTGGCCAGAAGGTTATGATGTTCAATTTCAGAGAGGTGTTGATTCAACTGTATGTAATGTTGGAAGATGTAGGTTATGTTGCTGTTGAACTGTACTGTGTCGTAAATGGGGTGGACAAAATATTAGAAACACATCTCAGTGTATCAATACTGTAGCTGGATGGTGCAATCAAGCCTAC